GCTGCCGGGCAGCAGCAAAACTGATCTGCTCAGTGTCAACATTTTTGGGGTCAACAGGCGTACTCACAAAGCCAGGAGAATGGCTGTCAAAGCAGACAGCAAACCCAGTAGAATAACTCCGTCTGGTCTCAGTTGACTCCTTGCCCGGGAAGGCTGTTTCATTGGCACTTCTGTCCCGGGCATCCAACCTTTCTGCCACAGTGGTGCTTTTCCTCACCACTTGGCTCCTGATAATTTCTTGCCTTTCATCCTCAAGCTCTTTGGCCTTCTCTGGTGAGATGCCCTTGGGGGGAATCCTATACGGCAGCTCATCATCCTCTTCGTTGTAAAGCCGGGAGGGTTTCCTATCCCCTTTGTAGGCCCGGATGTCATACAGTGAACCTGATCGGACCACTTCCAGCTTTGAGTTTCGGTCCAGGGGTGGCGTCCAGAGATCGGACTGACTGTTGATGGACTTAGTCACCCAGCTGGATCCATCCCTCCTTTCCCCTCTATGGTCAGCTTTCTGATCTTGGTTCCTAAACTCAAGATATTCAAGATCTTCCTTGATGTCAGACCTCCTTTTCCCGTGCATCGTGGCCCATTGGCCATTTTGTTCTTTATTTTGCAGGCCTGTATTTGGAGAGATGGTAAAAACCATGTTTCCCACCTTTGTCTCCATGGCAGGGATCTCCTCCAATTCCTCCTCCTCCTCCTCTTCTTCTTCTTGGATTTTTTTTGGGGGAAATTCTTTTGCAAATGTTGTTTGTGCTTTTTCTTGGTTTCCTTCAGCAACCCTTAGGTCCGGATTGGAGCTTCCTAATCTCTGGAGAAAAAAGGTGGAAAACATGTATTTATTTATTGAATTTATACCCTGCTTTTCTCCCAGGATGGAATCCTAGGAGGCTTTGTTGTTGTGTGCCTTCAAGTCATTTCTGACTTATGGTGACCCTAAGGCCAATCTATCATGGGGTTTTCATGGCAAGATTTATTCAGAGGGAGGTTGCCATCACTATCATCTAAGGCTGAGAGAATGTGACTTACTCAAGGTCACCCACTGGATTTGCATGGCTGAGCCAGGATTCAAACCCTGGTCCCCAGAGTCCTAGTCTAACACTCATGCCACCACACCAGAAAACAAGATTAAATTAGCATCTTATTTTATATAAGTTAAGACAATAATTGGGTAAGACCATGGTTAAAACAGTTAAACATGCATTTAAAATGCTCATGGGGAGAGGTGATTAAGAAATAAACATGATTATTATAATTACTAATAAAAGATTTTTATCAAATGCAGGATACTATTGCCCCCCAACAAACACACAACTGCTATATAATTTAAAACTCCAAGGCCTGCCAGAATTGGAGGCATTGGGGAACAAACCTGGAATCGTGTGCCTGCAACACAGGGATTTGTCCCACTATGCCACAGTTTATTATAAATCTATTCCATTTTCCTTTGGTTTAATGTTGGAAAAGAATCCTCCAAAGAATCATAGAATTAGAAGGACCATCTCATCCAATCCCCTCTTGAGTAGGAGCATAAACCTCAAGCACTTACTACCCAAACTATGTTTAAAGACCTTCAGAAGCTGTTTGCTCTTAGCTTCCTCTGAGGCTGAGAGAGAGTGACTTGTCCAAGGTTTCCATGGTCAAGCAAGAAAGACTCTTGTACCAGAGTCCTAGTCCAATACTCAAGCCACTACACCAAGGGTTTTCTTGGCAAATTTTCATCCAAGGAGATGTGCCATTGCCTTCCTCTGAGGCTGAGAGAGTGTGATTTGCCCAGGTTTACCCAATAGATTTCCATGACTGAGCAGGGATTTGAACCCTGGTCTCCCAGAGTTGTGTCCAATACATCCAAACCTACATCTCTAAAAGAGAATTGGACATATGTCCACCCAACTGCAAACTCCAGTCTTCCACGACAACTGAAGTAGAGTCAAAAGTGTTGGGATGTATACATAGGTTGAATCACCCTTATCCAAAATGCTTAGGACCAAAAGTGTTTTGTATTTTGGAATATTTGCATAGACATCCTGATATATCTTGGAGATGGGACCCAAGTCTAAATATAAAATTCATTTATGTTTCGTGCCATGTTTCATTTATAACTCACCTTGTACACATAGCCTAAAGGTCATTGTATATATCATATTTTTAATAATTTTGTGTGAAACAAAGTTTGTGTACATTGAACCATCCGAAAGCAAACATGTCACTTTCTCAGCCAGTCATGTTTTTTGGAATAGCTTGGATTTTGAAATTTCAGATAAGGGAGACTCAACTTGTATTACATTTCCACCAATCCTGACTTCTATTCCACAGTAGGATATACAGTATAGTAAAATTTATCAACTGCCTCCCTCTCCTGGAAGAAATAAGAATTTCAGCATATCTATGGTGATGGGACTTTTAGGTCTCCATAGTGGTTTGAGACCAGAGTTCGAATCCTAGCTCTGCCATTAAACTCACTGAGTGACCTTGGGTGAGTCACACACTCTCAGTCTCAAGGGAAGGCTATGGCAAACCTCCTCTGAACAAATCTTGCCAAGAAAACCCCATGACAGATTCGCCTTAGGGTCATTATAAATTGGGAACAACTTGAAGGCATATAACACACACACACACAAAGAGACTTTGGGTACATCACACTCTCTCAGCCTCAGGGGAAGGCAATGGCAAACCTCTGAACAAATCTTGCCAAGAAAACCCAGTGATAGGTTTGCCTTAGGGTCCCTATAAGTTGGAAACAACTTGAAGGCACACAGCACCCACACACAACCCAGTATGGTGTAGTGGTTTGAGTGTTGGACTACAATTCTGATAACCAGGGTTTGAATCCCTGCTTGGCCATGGAAACCCACTGAGTGACCTTAGAAAAGTCACACACTCTCAGCCTCAGAGGATGGCAAAGCAAACCCCCTCTGAACAATTCTTGCCAAGAAAACCCAGTGATAGGGTGGCCATAAGTCAGAAACTAATGCCAGCTAAGAAACAACACAGACAAGCCAACTCTTTTCTTTGAAATAATCCCTCCCGATTCTGGAAAGCAACGATGGTTAAATGAAACAACTCACAGCAACAAAATGGACCAAAAATGTAATTTGTGTATGTTTTGCGAATCCCTAGAGTTCAAACCACTACACCATGCTGGCTCTCTGTGGGTCTGTTTATAGGACATGAATTCTAACTTCCCCCTGGGCAGGGATGCCAGGAGCTCTTTCCAACCTTTCACAGAGAGGAAGGGCTGCATTGTTTTCATTCCCCTGCCGTCCTCTCCACCACCCCATACCTTGCAAGGTGAGAGCTGAACAACGCAGGAATTCTTGCCCAGCCCCATAACTCCATCTGTATTTGCCTTTCAACAGATTCTTGAAGGTGTGCTCATTCCAACCACTGTTTGCTCTGCTCTTCCAACTCTGCCCTTTGGCAGGAGCAAAGACAGCCCATGATCCTAATATGAAACCTCTACCCTGGGCTTATCTCAGGCTGAGAAGTCAAAAGTCCATCAGGAGGAGGAATCAGGATTCCACCTCAACATTAGGAAGGGCTGTTCAGCAGTGGAACAAGCTGCCTCAGAGGGTGATGGGGTCTACTTTTTTGGAGGCTGGATCGCCATCTGCAAGGAGTGTTTTGATTGTGTCTTCCTGTATGGCATAAGGAGGTCGGAATGGATGGTCCCTTGGGGTCTCTTTCAGCTCTATGATTCTAGGTACCTGGGATTGTAGGGAATGCCTGCAAGGATGTTTGCCTGCATTTGGCACCCCCTGCATCACCCAGATAGTCTGAAGTGCCATTCTGTGGCTACAAAAACAGCAAAGTCTACTCTAGGGAGAAGCCCTGCGGTGGCAGCAGCTCTTGTCTCCTGTTTCCATCAGGCCTCCCATCCATCTTGGATTTTGGTTTAAATCAACACTAAACCTTGTTCAGCTCTGGACTGCTTCGGGAAATGGTGGAGTCCCCTTCAGTGGAGGTTTTTAAAGAGAGACTGGATGACCGTCTGGAGTGCTTGGATGGTGTCTTCCTGCATGGCAGGGAGTTGAGTTGGATTGCCCCTTGGGGTCTCTTCCCATTCTAGGATTTTAGCAATATGAATTTCACAACCATGTGAAAAGGACCTTGGGATATTATTGATCATTAAACTTATTGAGTCGCCAGTGTGATGATGCAGCAAAGATGGCAAAGACAGTTTTAGCTCACATTAATAGAGCTGTAGTTTCCATGTCAAGGGAAAGCCATCAGTTATTCTGTGCTAGTCAGGCCTGATCTGAAGCCCTGTGTTCATTTCTAGGCACTTCATTTTAAGAAGGTTGCTTGGCCTCACATGTCCTCCTTGGTTTGTTGTCCTTGGCACCTGGTATTCAAAGCAGCAACAGTTCAAGATTTTATTTATTTCATTTATTTCTATTCCTTGGCTCAGTCAATTGACACTGTAGACAAGAAATCCAAAGAAGATTAACCCTTGGAAGGCAGCTACAAAGGAACTACATAATCTTTGAGTATATGATTAAATGAAAGTCAGGAATATCTATGCCATGGGATTCCAGATTTCTATGTACCGTATTTTCTGGCGTATAAGACGACCCGCGTATAAGACGACCCCCCCATTTTCCAGTCAAAATATAGAGTTTTAGCACCTCTACCCTCATCCTTATATCTGGCGTATAAGACGACCCCCCACTTTAGCCACAGATTTTGCAGGTAAAAAAGTAGTCTTATACGCAGGAAAATAAGGTACATATGTGAAAGCCGGATGGTGAAGAAAAATGGGAAATATGGAAGGAAAAGAGGAAGGACATATTACAGGTGTATAGATTCCCCCATGGAAGCTACAGCTACCCTGACTTTGCAAGACCAGAGTGGGGTGGTGGATAACAAGATGACGTGAAGGTCTTCCATTCGGAGGGTCACCAAAATGTAATGCCAACTTGATGGCAAATAGCCACAGAAAGATATTGTGCCTTTGAGCTTAGAGATGATTTACTGATTAATTGCTGTCAATGTATCCTATCTTGCTAGCCATGGCATAGAGGTTTGAGCGCTGGACTACTACTCTAGAGATCAGGATTCAAAACCCTGCTTGGCTATGGAAACACATTGGGTGACCTTAGGCAAGACACATGGTCTCAGCCCCAGAGAGCCTTGTGAGGTTCACCTTAGGGCTGCCATAAGTTGGAAACAACTTGAAGACACACAAAAACAGCAGCAGCAGCAGCAGATCTGTTCTCCAGTAAGGAGAAGCTTGTATGATCAGTCCATCCACCTCAGAAATACTAAGGGAGGATTTGGGGAACAGTAGTGAGAGCCAGCATGGCATAGTGGTATGAGTATTGGACTACAACTCTAGAGACCAATGTTTGATTCCCGTCTCGGCCATGAAACCCACTTTGGCAAGTCACATGCTCTCAGCTTCAGGGGAAGGCAATGACAAACTTCCTCTGAACAACTCTTACCAAGAAAACGCTATAATAGATTTGCCTTAGAGTCGCCATAAGTCAGAAATGATTGGAAGGCACACAACAACAACAACAACAATGACATGGGCAGCATGGATACAATCATTTAAACCTGACATCTCTAATACACAGCCTTAGGTTTGCCATAAGTCAGGAAACAACTTTAAGGCAGACAACAGCAACAGTCCAAAAAGTAACTTGCCAAGCCCTGCTCCATCACTTTGGGTGTCCTCTTTCTTACAGGCTTTCTCTGGAGAGTGGAAGTTAACAACACCCTCTTTCCCCCACTGCATGCATGTCCTTGTGCACACAGCTTGGAAAAGTTCTTTTTTGGACTACAACCCCTACAATCTCCCAACCCCGACATTAAGGGAGTGTAACTTCTCCAAGCTCCAGAGTCAGAAATGTGTGGTTCACGTAAGCCCTGGTCGGATGCATTTCTCACCAACCTGTGTAGGTTCAGAGAGAGCCATTCCCAAATGCTGCCACTGCCAAGGCTGTAATCCAGATCAATTCCAGGCGGTGTCAGGATAGCTGCCCACCTTTGTGGGTATTCTCTCTCCACCAGTGCCCAAGCCAAAGAGGATTTCAAAGGTGAGACCAGATATTTCCTCTTTCTCCCTTTCTTACCCCCAAGACCTGTCAGGGGGCCCTGTCTACTCCAGGAGGTACTTGCAAGCCAACTTGCTGTTCCCAAACCAGGCTGGCGCAGGGAGGAGTGCCCAGAGACACTTGCAAAATTCTGTGGGCTCCTGCGTCAGTCTGATAAGGCCTTTGCCCTCCCCTCCCTCCACCTGCCCAGAGCCGGCGGGGGAATTCCAGGGACTAGAGATCAAAAAAGAGAAAAGAGAGCGTAAAAGAAATGTTGAATTAAAAACTAAATCTGTGGCTCAACCCTCTCCTTCCCTAAAACATCTTGATTTTGCCAACCTGTCCACAAATAGGTATCTGCCACTGTTTCTAGGGTTGCATCTGCACTGCCAAAATAATGCACCTACGTGGCAGGGGGTTGGATTGGGTGACCCTTGGGGTCTCTTCCAACTCTATAATTCTGTGATACTCCTTCAACTACCATGGCTTCATACTATGGGATTCTGGGATTGGCAGTTCTGTGAGATATTTGGCCTTCTCGGTCAAAGAGCTCTGGTACCACAACATACTACAAATCCTAGGATTCCACAGGATGCAGCCATGGCAGTTCCAGTGGTGTCAAACAACATTAATTCAGCAGTGTGGGAGCAGCCTAGGAGAACAGTCAACAACCCAAACCAGGGAGGAAATTCTGGGACCATCCAGATGTTGTTTGATTGCAATGCTCAGCCTTCCTCACCAGTGATGATGCTGGCTAGGGTCTTCTGGGAGTTTCATAGAATGCTAGAGCTGGAAAAGACCCCAAGGGCCATTGAATCCAACCCTCTATCGTGCAGGAATCCATAATTGAAGCACTTCTGAAAAGCACCCAATCCAACCTCTCCTTAAAGACCTCCAAAGATGGCAGCCCATTCCACTGTTGAGCCGTTCTTACAGCAAATAAATTATTCTTAACATTTAGGAACGTGAGGAGGGTGGACTGGATGGCCGTTGAGGTCTCTTCCAACTCTGTAATTCTATGATTCTAGGTGGAATCTCTTTTCTTGTTATTTGAATCTGCCAGTTCATGTTCTCCATCTTCTTCAGGGCATCTCTTCATATATTTCAAGACGGCATTAATGCCACCTCTTCAAGCTCTCTTTTCTTCTCCAGGCCAAACATCTCCAGCAGTTGTTTCTCCTAAGGCGTGGTTTCCAGACTTTTGATCTTCTTGGTTGCCTTTCTCTGGTCATGATCCATTTACTTGAATTAATTGCTTTTTTTAAAAAAAGGAACTTCCCAAACTCTGCTGTTCTACAAGTTGTGTGTGCCATTTTGTTGCTTTTGCTGAAGACTCCAGCTAGGCTGCCCTGTGAATTTAGGAAAGCAGAAAACAAGCTCCCCCATCTTCTGCAGTATATCCCATCCAACATTGCTTGGCTCAATTCAATTGCTAAACCTCACTAGTCAACAGTCCTACCAAGAATCAGTGGAAATTTGGCCAGATAATGCTTAACAGCTGCACTTGCACTGCAATATTAATGCAGTTTGATACCACTTCAACCGCCCTGGCTCCATGCTATGGAAACCTGGGGTTTATAGCTTGGTTAGTTGTTTAGCCTTCTTTGTCACAGAGCTCTGGTGCCACCACAAACTACAAATCCTAGGACTCCATAGCATTGAGCCATGATTGTTAAAGCAGTGTCAAACTGCATTAATTCTGCAGTGCAGATTCAGTCAGAGAGATATAGAAGAAGGGTCATCCAGAGAGTATCTGATCCCAGGGTCATCACCCAAGGCTCAAACCACTACACCAGGGTAGGCCACCTTTTTGAGCCGGGGGCCGGGTTGCTGCCCCTCAGACAATTGGGGGGCTGAAGCACCATAAATAAATAAATAAATAAATGAAATTAAAAAAAAAATAAAAATTAAAAAATATATGAATGCACACTCTCTCAGCCCCAGAAAAGCCATGGCAAAACCCCAAGAACAAGTAATAACAACAATAATCAATATCAACATGGTGGGCAGCGGCGGCAGCGGCAGGACCAGCCTGGGGCTGATCCAAAGGCCTTGGGGGGCCGCATCCGGACCCCGGGCCTTAGGTTGCCTACCCCTGCACTACACTATATTGGCTGTCTTTAAGCATAATAACTGGCTGAGGTCATTTGGGGATTGCATATTTTCGGATGAAATTTGTCCATGAGGAAAAGAAGCAAAACCTGCCCATAATGTCCACAAAATCCTATCGAGTTTCGAAAGCTGATGGTCTGTTTGAAATGGGAAAGGTGGGGAGAATTCAAGAGAGCCGGTTGTTTAATTTTAATCCCACCAAACACAAGGTGTGAGGAGGATTTGGGTTTTCAAATCACTTTTGCTTTGGACTATTGGTGGGTTTTTGGAGAGATGAGGGTCCTCTGCTTTTGGTTGATTGCCAGCTTTTATTCTTGGTGCTTTTGTTATCATTCAGCCTTCCTTATGCTTTCAGTCAGGAGTTTTTTTTGGGGGGGTTGGTACTATTTTCTGGTTGCATTTTTATTTGTTGTTTGTTTTAATTGTCATAAACCATGAGCTGTTTGGAAGTGTTGCTTTGATAAGACAGGAAATGTTTAAAAAACACTGAACAAATGAAATGTTTGTACTGCATCCATGTGCCAACTACTGCCCCAGGTTGCCCCCGATACCAGATACAGCACAATATTCAGTGCACTTTAGTGTTGTTCAACTGACTCTAGTGCATTTCCCTGAATTTGTACCATTGTGGCATTACAGGAGGAGGCTGGATAGCCATGACATTGAGCGCTTGGTATCCTTGGCTGGGATTTGGTGCCAGGACACCATGTGAATCCCAAAATCCGTAAAGGCTCAAGTTCTACTAAATACAATGGCATTGCAAAATGGTGTCCCTTATATAAAATGGCAAAATCCAGGTTGGGTTTTTTGAATTTTTTAAAAACATTTTCAAGCTGCAGATGATTGAATGTGTGAAAGCAGAAACTGTGAATACGGAGGGCAGACTGTAGAAAGTTGCTTTGCATTTAAGAGACAGAGAGCATTTACACTGTAGGAATAATGCAGTTTGACACTGTTTCAACTTTCATGGCTCAGTGTTATGGGATTCTGGGATCTGTAGTTTTGTGAGCTCTTTCGCCTTCCCTGTTGGAGAGTTCAGGTACCACAACAAACTACAAATCCTAGAATTCCATTGCACTGAGCCATGGCCGTGAAAGTGATGTCAAATTGCTTTCTTTCTGCAGCCCAAGCAACATTAGAGTGTGATCAAGATGGCAAAAAATTATTAATGAGGAAGAAGCTAGAAGAGGCTGCAGCAGTTTGCTTTGGCCTGACCTTACTGGGAAGGGTGAGACTCTGCTCTGTTGTCTTCTCTCCCCAATTATAAGTAATTAGGTCCAAACAACTTTTGCACATCGAATTCATTCATATAACATTTTGAACCCTCTCTGATGTTGTTCAGACACTTGTCCTGCTTTTCATCTGGAAATCTTGGCGAGTATGGTATCAGTGTTGGACTAGGACTCTGGAGACCAGGGTTGGATGCCCTGCTTGGCCATGAAACCCACTGAGTGACCTTGGGCAAGTCACATTCTCTCAGCCTCAGGAGAAGGTCATGACAAACTTCTTCTGAACAAATCTTGCCAAGAAAACTCCAGAATAGGATCTCCTTAGGGTTGTGGTAAGTTAGAAATGACTGGAAGGCACACAACACACACAACATACATGGTGTCACAAAACCCATGCTCTCCTGTGACAGACTAGTTTGCATCCAATTAAGTAAGTTGAGGACAAAAAGGGGAAAGCAGCAGGAGGAGAAAGAAGCCAGGACATTTTAAAACCAATTCCAAAAATGGGATGGCAGAGGATTCATTGGGCTCATTCCTGCCAAATCAAGACAGTT